TGCCCATGGCAGGGGTTTGTAACTGGATGAGCTTTAAGGTCCCTTCAACGCAAACCAGGCTGGGATTCTATGATCCACGGCTGCTGGCTGGTCGTGGGGCCATGGCATTCCCTTGGCTGTTGCAGGGTTTCCTGCCTGAAACCTTTAATATCTCTCCCTCTTCCAAACAGTACCTGGGCTCCATGCTGATCAAAGACCTCCGAGGGACAGAGTCTACGCAGGACGCCTGTGCCAAGATGAGGGTATGAAGGCCAGGGATACAGGGGAGCTTCACTCACAGCCTGTGGTGGCTGATGTGGAGAGGGGAATGGGGAGACCTCAGTGAAGTGGCTCCCCAAACCTTGCCCATGGGCAGAGCAGGGGCCCAGAGCACCCATAACAGGCTGTGCTGTTGTTGCTGCTGAACTGCCCCCCCAGCACTTCCCCATAGCTGCAAGGTCTGTGCAGTAGGAGAACTAGTGTTTTCCCTGGGGAAAGGGGTGCTGGGTGTGTTTCAGGCTTTCCTCCTCCTGGTCCAAGACCTCCAAAGCCTGCCTTTGTGGGGCCTGGAGGTTTCTGGGATGGGCTGGGGCCTGGCGAAGGAGGGAGCATTTATTCACAACTGAATAATCCACTTGAATATTCTTGTTTCTGAAGAAATCCACAGAGCATATGAAGAAGATCCCGACCATTATACTGTCCATCACGTACAAAGGGGTGAAGTTCATCGATGCCTCAAACAAGGTGAGCTTCAGGTGCCTTGAAGTTGGTATCTTGAAGGACAAGACCTGCAGCCCCAGGGGATGCAGGTCACATTTCTTGGCTTGAGGAGCTATTTGGGCTATGGAAGAGCACCAAGGTGGTGATGTTATCTGAATGTCAAAGGCTTGGCAATCTGGCTGCTTGTGGACCATGTTTCCATTGATTCCTGCCATGGGAGGGAGCTAGGACTGGTCTGTCTGGGAGACTCCCCCTCTGCCAGTACCTGCTTTGCTCCCTGCCTCCAGTACACACGTGCCACAGCCAGTGAGTTGCTTCTGGGTGTATTTGACAACCCCAGAAGGGTGACAAGTGCTTGTGGTTGACCCTGACAGAATGTCATTGCTGAGCACGAGATCCGGAACATCTCCTGTGCTGCTCAGGACCCTGAGGATCTCTGCACCTTCGCTTACATCACCAAGGACCTGCAGACTAGCCACCACTACTGCCACGTCTTCAGCACTGTGGATGTGGTGAGTGGGTTACTGCATCTCCCAGTGCACTGCAGTCCTTTAAAGCCCCCTTGTTTCAGCACTCAGCTTTGTTGGTGAGTCATAGACCAGGATCTGGGGCTCTTTCACCTGTTTCTACCCTAAAATACTCCTTTCAGAGTCCTGGCTCCAAATGCTTTTACTTTTTGGAGCTCTGTCGACAAACAGAACATTTGTGCAGCTTCATTACTGCAGTCTCCAGTATAAAGCAGAGCAGTTTTCCCCTCCTGGGGAATATACAAAGCCCTAATACACTCTCAATTATGTTGGGCGTAACAGGCTGATTTAACAGCCTTTTCATTCACTGAATGAGGGGAAGCAGAACTTGCTTTTATTCTCAGGCAGAATCAGCTGTACCAGATGATTTGGCTTTTTTCTCTTTACAGTGCAAACTGCTGCTAAACTGCTCCGTGTTTTCTATGTTCTCTCCAAAGAACCTGACATACGAGATCATCCTCACATTGGGGCAGGCATTCGAGGTGGCCTATCAGCTGGCCCTCCAAGCCCAGAGGGCAAAGCCCCTGGGTGCTGGGGCAGGAGAAACCATTGAAACAAAATCTTCCAAACCGGTGCCTAAACCACGAGCCGGCATGAGGAAATCTGCAGTGAGTACCTGCGGGCTGGGGGGACCTGCATGTGCTGAGCTGGGATTTCTCTTGGGCTTAAACACACACTTAAACCTTCCCCTTGGTGGTGAGGGGAGCCCAGGTGCAGACAGGGTGCCCGTAGCTGCAGACAAGGTGCCTGTAGGTGCAGACAGGGCACCTACAGCTGTAGACACCACTGATGTTGCAGTGTCTGCAGCTCTGGTAGCAGTTCTGTTGCAGTGTTAGGGCTTCCCCTGGTAGGATGAGGGCAAGCCAGGGTGCAAATAGCCCGGGTGGGATGGGGTGTAAGTACTCTGCTGGGTCCAGCACAGTTTCCACTGTGCAAACCCAGCAGGGCCACAGGACGTAGTAGGTAACCTGCAGTTTGCAGTACGGGATTGCTTCTGTAGCCAAAACCATCCAAGACTGGAGCTGCTGAGGAGCAGGGACTGCTGCATAAGCCTCTGCCTTCCTTTAATGTCTCCTTTTGTCTGTGTTGTGCTTGCTCCCCCCGCTCAGGTGCCGCTCCCTCCCGACACCCGCTGTTGTTACTGTCACACGTGTACAACACACCGCCCCTCCTACCTGCCGCTGCAGTCTGTTAGTCCTGGAGCCAAGGTCTTTACCCTTCTTCCTGCCACCTTCCATTGTGATCCAACCTGGGCCATCCCAGCTGCCACCAGCCCGCCCGCCTCCCCGCTTCCCGTGCTTCCTGCTGTGCTCCCGTGTCCTGCCTCGCTGCTGTCTTCCCTCCCTGCTCATTCCAGGGCCGTGTCATGGGCTCAGATGAACCCCAGGGATAAAGCACTCACATCCTCATATCCTCCCCTGCTGATGTAGAGTGGCAGCTCTCAACTAACTGTGTTGCTCTTTCTGGTGTTGTTAACCTTCCTGTAGGATCCTGATTTAGGAGGACAAGATGAAAGAGCCATGCTTGGTCAGGAGAGTAAATCACATGGGAGCTCACCTACCAGAGCTGTCTCCCCTCTCCCTCTGCCTCTTTTATTTTACTTCTTATAGTGCCATCTTTATAGCACTCTCTATTTTTCATGCTTGTTTGTGAAAGGAAGTGAAGCTGTCACTAATGGTCACAGAAGCTTGCAGGCCTAACGCAGGAGGTCAGCTCGGGGTGCTGGGTTGAGACTGATGTGGCTAGACACGTTTTAGCTCACATTTAGGACTCAATGTGTGCGGGGAGCTGCTTCCCTGCACACGTGTGTGTTTTTGGGATGGGTGTTAGGCAGAGCAGCAGCCTCTCCATGCTTTGAATCCCAGATTCACGGGTGACCTAACATGCCCTTTCTCTCCTTACTTTCTAGCTGGAGCCCCCTGAAGTGGACCAAGACTCCCAGTCTCATGCCAGTGTCTCCTGGGTCGTGGACCCCAAACAGGACTCCAAGCGGACCCTCAGCACTAAGTATGAGACCACTATCTTCTAAAGCAAACACACCCCGTGTCCACCCAGTCTAACCGTGCCTTTGCGATCTGATCTGTCCGCTCTAAACCCCCTCTCCCTCCAGCTGCTCGCACTGAGCCCCGCGTAGGCACTACGTCAATGGCAGCAGCACTTAGGAGACTGTAGACTTAAAAGCGGCTTTTGTACCTGATCACTGCTGAACACTGTGAATTCTCCTTACTCGGAAACAAGGGTAACATGCTGATAGGTATCCGTGAGGCGGGAGGTCCAGGGGGTGCAGGCTGGGGGAACCGGAGCTCTGGAGCCAGGAAGCCGCCGGCCGTTGTCACGTCTTTCCCCTCGCTCTGGCACTGTGAATCCCTGGGGCAACGTGACACCCCCCCAGGCCTTTTCTATTTCACCTTCTTCTCCTTGGACTGATGGAGACCTCTTGTCTCTGTGGTGCACTCCCTCCTACACCCTCTCCTTCCTGACTGAGCCACGGCTGCGTACTGTTCAGTGAACTCACCCCTCTTACCTGCCGTTCGAATCGACACTAACCACTGTGATGCTGTCTGCAAATAACACACGTTCACTAGATTTCCTCACGGGGACCCTTGCCCACAGTCTCTCCCCGTGAAGCCTGAAGCAGAAAACCTGCTCTGATGGGAGCATTGGTGCGGGCCGGGTGTGATCGTTCCCACTGTGAGCTCTGTCCCCCTCGGAAGTGAGCTGGGGTTTTGGTTTCATGCGTTTCATCCCTTGTAGGATATTTTTCCCCCCATAGTTCTGTTTACACTCACCAAACTTCTGAGCTATGGGTGTAGTTCTCACTTGGCAGGTTATAAAGAGGTTAAGCTTTTAAAGGCACATGTTGTTAGCCCCATGCGGGGAAGGAAAGGTGTTGGAGGGGCTGGACACTGTGCTGTTGGAGGGCTGATCAAGCAGATGGAGCTCTGCTGTGTTGAGCAGACTTACTTTTTTGCCAAAGGGAGGAATGGAATTGAAATCAGTCTGCTGCTGATCCCAAAGCTTGTTTTCAGTCTACAAACCGTTGCACAGAGAGGGCTATAGGGATCTTGAAACATCTGTCACCTTCCGTCCTTGAGAGTGAGGATTTCACTCGGAGGTTGCCCTGCATCAGCGGCCACCTCTGCTTTTTCTGGCTGCTTCTCAAGTGCACGTGTTTTTCCTCTGGGAAAATGACCCTGTTTCTGTGTAGAAATGCTACTTTCTCAGTAGAAGCAGCTTTTAATTCCAGTATGTGATTGGGAATTGTTTGCATAGGATGGCAGAGCAGCTGTCACAGGCCAGAGCAGAGTTGGAATGGGTCTGGGAATGCTGTACGGTGGTGAAAGCCCCTATAAACCATCCATGGCCATGCCCCTGGTTCCTTCACTTGTGTTTGCAAAGCTCACTGAGATGAAACTGAGGAGGACGAGGAGGATCTGATGACTCTACAGTGCCAGGAGGCAGAATTCCTGCCCCACTGCTGCTTCTCTCCAGGTTGCTGTGTTCAAGTAATGTCACCTCTCCTTACCTCAGTTTCCGCGTGTAGGGGATGGGGATGTACTTCCCTCTCAGGCTGGAAAGCTCCTTCTGTTTGCAGAGCAGTTTGAAGACCCTTTAGTGAAAGGCTCTGTGACTTCCACACTGTGGCAGGAAGCCTCCAACGCTCTCCTGGCAGGTGAAGTCCTGAACTCCAGACAGACTCAAATCAAAGCTGGTTCCTGGACTCCACCAGCTCCTCGCAGGAGAGGGCTGAGCAGATGGGGCCGTGGCTGTGTGGTAGTTGGGCTGCACAGAAGCCACTGACGTGCACCTTGGTGTAAGTGTCTGAACTCACTGTGGGTTTCACACCTTGGCAAAACCCCCTCACAGCCCAGTTTTGGAGAGGTGGTGGTGATGGTGGGTCTGTGTTGGAGAGCTGTGAAGAAAGGTGGACAGCAGCTCCCTGCTCACCTCTGTGTGACATGTCTGGTGGACACCTTAGATAGAAATGGGGAGGAGGGCACACTCAGATCTCCAGTAAAGCTGGAGAATTTACCCCAAATCTTCCTTGGCTGTCACCAGTTGGCGTCAGCGGGGAGGTCACAACAGCAGCCCTGGGTTATTGCACCTGCTATTTAGGGGCTAGAAGCAGCTTGTCTGAGTTTAGAGCTGTTGCCTCAGAGCTTCTCTTACCTCAGACTTGTGGTGAAATCTGATGTTTCAAAATCTTTATTCAGCTCTTCCTCAGGAGTGAGTTTGATCTCCCAAGTCATTTGTGGCTTAATGGCACTGAGCAGCAAACTGACTTCAAAATGAAGGCTAGGCTGGTAAGAACCCAAGTGAGAGGAATAGAAGGACTGTCTTAAAGCAAGAGAAAAATGAAAGCTGAGCCTAGTGCGTGTATTTCATATGCCAAGGAGCCTCTTACCACAGAGCAAGTGCTCCTCTAAAGACCCCCAAAGCAGAGGTTGAACTGCAGTTGCCTGAAATGCTGCAGGACCATCCTGACAGCAGCATTGTGGTGGACAGCAGAATATTGCTGCATCTGAGGCACTGCAAGAGGCTGGTGTTGAGTTTGATCAGCATCTTTCCAAGCTGTGAGGGAGCCCTGTGGGTTTCTATATCCTTCAAAGAGAAAGAGATTTGGTGGTTGTAGTGCAGTTTCTGTGTGTAAGCATTTACTGTGCCATGGCCCACCCATACGCCTGACTCCAGAGGGTCTGAGCTCTTGCCTCTCCCCTGCTCTCAGCAGGTTCTTCAGCACCTCCCACAATGGGTCACTACAGCATGTGCCTTTCTAAGGGTGACCATCCAAACCCAGCTGGGATCACAGGCAGCTCTGCCCGAGATAGAGCCCCTGCTGTGTATCCATAATCCTCACGGTTGTGTCACATCCTGGCCATGAGCCTCATCTTTCCCAGCACATGTGTTTGTATGACTCGGAAATCATTCATTCCATTATCTTCCTTTCTGTTTGCCTCTGCAAAGCTGAGCTCCGGGCAGCTGTCTCCTACCACGGACATGTAGTAACGGGGCAGAGACCTAAGAAGCAGTGGCCTGCTGACACGAAGATCATCTCCGTCTGGTGTCTGCCTCGGAGTGGGTGCATGGCTGCTCAGTGAGGGCTCCCAAAGCAGAGGGGAGGGAAAGGGATCCCAGGCACCAGCTGAGGAAAGCAGCTCTCTCCATGTCTAGCAAAGGGAAGTTGAGACTTCTGAGAGCGATGTCACCTTTTCTAGCTTGAGACAAATGTTTTTCAACCTGTTTCTTTTTTAATGTGCAAAAATGATACAGAGCAAATCCAGTTCACAGTTTAAATGTAGCACTGCAGGTTTTTTTGGTGAGGAAAAAACAATAGATGTCCTTATTTACTGAGAATCCACGCAGCCCTGAGTACAATTGGGAGTCTTAGTGGTGGGAGTGGTGTGCACATCTCTAACGGTACTTACATTTGCTTCAGTTCTGGGTGAACAGTAGAGAATGCCAAATTCCTGGAAATCACTTCCTCCAGTGTGAGAAGCCTGGCAGGGGAAGTGCAAATGGAAACAACTTAAGAAGTCTGCAAAAGATCTGTCACCCCAGAGTGGTTGTGGCCAAGTCTGACAATGGTACAGAGCTTGCTTCCCCTACAGAGAACTCTTACATTGCAATACTTGATGTTTCTATGGCAAGGACACAATTTCTTCCCATTTTTCCGCACTGAACTCCTGGAGAGGAGTCCCTTCTCCAGTCTCGTGTGCACCTGAGTTGGTTTTAAATGCAGTTATGCCCTGAAGGGTTGAGGGTTTGGGGTTTTTTAAAGTCTGTTCAATTGTGATTTAGCACTTTTTTGATACTAGCTTGTTATTTAATTAGTGCAACAGATTCAGAAGATGAACAAATAAGGAGTTAAATTTTGGGCATTACACTGAAGCAGTCCATACCCCAGGAGAAATTAGACCAACCTGTGGATGGCTCAGCCCCCATCTCAGTCCAGGATCCCCAAAACCACCATCTCAAAGGTGCCATTACTTTTCTTCCAAATTATCAGAGTGTCTGACAGCAGTTTGGGCTGTGACTGATGTGTTTTCACACTGTACTGACTGTTCTCCTCACGGGAGAGGTGTTAAGATGTGATTTTCATTCCTCAGACACACAAATGTAGCGCAGCACGTGTGTAACCTCGACAGGCATTGTGATCGTTGGGGATGTGGTACCTGCTGCTTTACTATGATGGTATGCCCAGATAACTTCTGTTTAACTCCAGTTGCTGCTGTATGTCAGGATTTCATTTAGTCTCTCTAGCCAATGAGGCAGAGAGAGATGATCCGTAATCCCAAGGGCATAGACCTGTAAATGATAAGGAGGGGGAAGTGGAGATGATTATTTTTTAAGTTGATGAATTTAGGAAACCTAACATTCCTTGTTCTGCATATGTTGCATTCATACTGGTGTTAAGTGTAAATATTTGGTGTGTTGGCAACAAGTCTTTCTGGAGAGATTGCAAATTGAACCTCTGCTTGGGAGGAGGGACACCTTTCTTTTTACCTGCATGAGCTTTTTGAAGGTTGGCTTGGAGGTAACATGGTGATGAAGACTCCAATCTTCAGGGGACTGTGCTTAGTGACCCTGGTGGTCCTTTCCAGTCCTGTGTGTGATCTGTGGTTGTCTTTAGTGATCCAACAGTTCTTTAGCCAGATACTCTCTTTCTCACTCCATAGACAAAGCAGTTGTTTTGGCAGTGCATATTCCCCTTCTATTTCAATGGGTTTTCTCAAGGTACTTGCATGCTGGAGACAGATCCTGGACCATGCCAGCCCCTGACTCCTAGTCATGTTATCCCACCCATTGCACAGTATTCTGCCTCTTCCTCCCTCCAGGGTTTCATGGTATCTGGGAGGAAAGTGCCCTAAATTTCTGGTGCTGAATGACTTTTGACTCAAAATGCATCTGCTGTATTCCCTGCCTGGAAAAGGTGGTGCTGCCCTGGGCCTCAGTCCCCTTTTTTAAGGACAGATTGTGGTTTACAGAGTTTGGATTGTGCACGGCATGAGCCCAGGCTGAGAACTCAAG